TTCTTAGAAAAATATTCAGATTGGCTGCATATCGTTGAAAATATTGATGTACAGCGAACTGAGTTACGTGTATCTCAGAGCTTTGACGAAGTTAAACCATCAACTTCTTCATCGCATGGCCGTCCGAGAATTAACTTTGACGACACCAGTAAACGTACAAAAAGGAGAAGATTGGCTAGTTTGTCTAACCAAGACCCTTCTCTTGTACAGTCATTGCTCAATGCGTCCGATAGCTTGTCTTGTCCTGAAATCGATTCTAGCGAAGTTTTATCGCTCATTGTTGAAGCTCAGTTAACTCGACATCAATATATATTAGTAAAGAAATTTATAGACAATAAGTTTTCAAAAACCATTTTCCCATCTTACCAAAGTGTCGTGGAATCTAAAAAACACTGTTATCCTTCAGATATTACTGTTACAGAATCATCCGCCGAAGTCGAACTTCAAAGTTTATTAGATCATACTGCCAATCGGATTCTCAAGTCTCAAAAAGATGTTTTGGATAGTGTACCTAATGAGTCTCTAGATAAGATATCTTTGATAGGGAAATGGGGTTTCGATGGCAGTACAGGGCATTCAGAATATAAACAGTGTTTTTCTGACTACACTCTTGAAGACAGTAGCCTGTTTGTTACTTCGTATGTGCCACTTCAGCTTGTTTTGACAACAGATAACAAAGAAAATTCAGTAGTTTTGTGGAAAAATCCTCGTCCTTCATCAACTCGATACTGTCGTCCTATACGCCTCCGATATTTGAAGGAATCGACTGCAGTGTCAGTTGAGGAAGAAGCTCATTTTAAAGATAAAATAAGGAACTTGCAGCCTACTGTTTTCAAGGAAGAAGATCGCGAATATCGCATTACTCATTGTTTGCAACTTACTATGGTAGATGGTAAAGTGTGTAATGCACTTAGTGGTGTTTCTTCATCAAAATGTTTTATTTGTAACGCCTTGCCCAGTGAAATGAACAAAATTGACGAATGTTTAAATAAGGAAGTCGATGAGAGTAAATATGAATTTGGTTTATCACCTCTTCACGCGTTAATACGTTTTTTTGAATATTTTGTTCATGTCGCGTACAAGTTAGATGTTAGGAAATGGCAAGCTAGGTCCGCTAATGACAAAATGCTTGTTGCTGCAAAAAAATCATATGTTCAGACTCAATTTAGAGAAAGATTAGGGCTTATAGTGGATAAGCCTAAAAGTGGCGGAAGCGGAACATCAAACGATGGTAATACAGCCAGGCGGTTTTTCTCGAATTCAGAAATTTCCGCTGAAATTACTGGGATCAAGAAGGATCTCCTAGATCGTTGCTGGATCATCTTTCAATGTTTAAATTCGGGATATAATATTAATAAGACGAACTTCGAAGAGTTCGCTTTAGAGACGGCTCGGCAGTTAGTTGCCGAGTATCCGTGGTATAACATGCCTGCTTCCGTTCACAAAGTTCTAATTCATGGTGCTAATGTTATAGATTACGGTTTGTTGTCAATCGGAGAGTTGTCTGAAGAAGCAGCTGAAGCGACTAACAAATACATCAAGTCTTTTAGAAAAAATCATACGCGTAAAATGAGTCGCATTGTGACCAACACAGATTTAGTAAATAGGCTGCTTCTTCATTCAGATCCCTTCATAACAGGTCTACGAAAGTTACCTGTTAAAAAAAAAGGTGTACTGTCAAAAGCTGTATTAGACTTGTTATGTATTTTTATTGTTTTAATTTATTCATTTGTGGTTATTGTTAATACAAATAATCATTATTTACACAGTTTTACCATTAAAAGTCGCAGTATAAAATGTTTTAGATACATCGTCTAAAAACAAAATTACTGCGAGACATTTTTACACCTAAATATTGTCAAATATTTTTTAAAATGTATAATTTTATTAATTTACGTTTACCTAATCATATTTTAACGTAATAAAATAAAAAAATAATAATAATTTCGGAGTTACGTATTTATGACCGCCTTAGTATGGAGCGTGAATCACCGTGGACCGGTCGCGTCAGTCGGCCACGGAACTCGCTTCTGAGCACACGCGTACCTTGCTTGCATCGCTTCCCGCGCTTTCACACGTCTCGCGTAATTGTAAATCATTTTGTGCTTGCTGAACTTTAGTTACTTTCTTCTTATTTTGTTATCTATCGCGTCCTATACATCTGTAACTCCTTTTGTACTGTTTCCTTATCTTCTAGTGTGTCTGTGAACTGTGACTCTTGCTTTCCTTTCTTTACGTTTCAATATACGTTCTATTCAGTGTGCTATCGTGTCGCGTCTTATTTCACAAAACCTACTGCAATATAATAGCTATTCAGAACATCGCTACCTGTGCTGCCTGTGCCTGCGTTACACTGCAACGACCCGGGTTCGACTCCCGTTGCAGTTACACAACTACGACTGTTGGGAGCAGGTTCAACACCTGCACCACACTCGCAAAGCTGGACGTTAATTTTAGTGACTAAGTTATTTTGTTTCTTTTCCATTATATAGTTGTAGCATAGTATTAGGGTCTGTCCCGGCCTGCTACTTAAGGTAAACTGTTAGTTTACGAGGAGGGCGATGTCGAGGACGGACCCTCTTTATAGTTTCTAGTTATTAGTCTATGTTTAGCTCTTTGTCTCTGTCCTTTTTTATACTCTGTGCTTGCTTTTTCTTCTGTTTCTCTTTACTGTCTGTTTCCTCTTTAATAATACACCTTTTTCCTTCCTAAACCGCCGTTTCCTTCGCTGTCCTCGATATCCTGGTCCTTCGAGCCATTAATCCCGGTCCTGTTGGAGCCACTAATCTCAATTTCTGTTTTTCAAAAATAAAAACTTTAAAATTATGCTTACGAGAGCGCAAGCAGCGAAAGAGATGGCGGAGCCCTCACCCTCTGAGGGAGGAGGAAAGGATAAGAGATCTCTTCCAGCATCCAACTCGTCGTCGCAGCGCGCGACCTTGATGGCGCGGCAGAAGGCCGCCGAAGCCAAATTAAAGCGCAAGGTTGCCGAGCTCGCGCATCAAGTTGCGAAGGCTGAAGAGGAAGCAGCACGTGCAGAGCTCGAGGCTGAGAGCGCTGCGATTGAGGCAGATAAGACTGCTAGTTGCTCAACGACAGCTTCCATGAAGCGGACGGCGCAATGGGTAAATGACACCCGCAGCGCCGCGAGATCGCCATCACGCCTTATGGAAGGTCAGCGAGTCAGGTCTGTGCCACTGTTGCCGGAGTACAAACCTCCACGGTCACCATGCGTTGTTAAGGTACCACAATCTAATTTATTATGTGAGGATGTGCAACGCACCATGCGGGAGACGGCCGTCCACTTACCTTTCGGGGAAGGTGCCGCGTCACCTGCGAAGGCGCGCCACGAACCTCAAGATGTACCAATAGGCGAAGTTTGTCGTCTGGCTAACGCTATTACTTTACTCGCACAAAATTGCGATAGAACTAAATCAGTAATTATAGATCTAATCAGTTTTTCAGGAAATATTTCGGATTGGTCTTTATTCAAAAAGAGTTTTGATGATACCAAGGCTGCGTTTTCGGATAGGGAAAATATGGCGCGTCTGCGTAAGGCTTTATGTGGTGCAGCGCGCGAGACCGTCAAATCCTTGCTCCTAATAACAGATGACCCTGAATTGGTAATAAGGGCTTTAGAGCTCAACTTTGCGCGCCCAGAGCAGATCGTTCTCTACGAAATAGCTGCAATACGCGCCCTGCCTAAGATGACTCGAAACTACGACATTTTCACATTTTCAGCTCGAGTACAAACATGTTTGTGCATAGTGAAACAATTAAACAGGCACGAATATATTTATTCACCTGAACTGGTACACACACTTCTGGCTAAATTAACATTAAATTTACAGGACAAGTGGTTGGATTTTGCGGATCATCACTTCGACCTTGAGACGCCGATCCTGGAGTTGTTGGCAACATTTCTGGAGCAGGAAGCTAGCAAGCGGGCTCGTTTTAGGCCCAGTCCTTCGTTGTGCATCTCTACTCCTCACTTCGACAAGCCGAAGACGCAGCCGCCGGCGTTTCACCGGGTGCACGCTCACACCACAACAAACAAATTAACTTGCTTGTTTTGTTCATCCGACCTCACAATAAAATCATGCCCCAAATTCATTTCACTCTCCATTGACGAGCGTTTGTCGTGGGTTCGCCAGACGAAAATTTGTCCGAAGTGCATTCGCAAAGGCAAGCACAATTGGCGAACATGCAAAGCCAATTCATGCAACATTAGTCGTTCGAATCATCACCATTTATTGCATTTAGATTCGTCTCATCCCAAATTCATCACAAATACGCGACGACTGACGTGACATTCCGTCTATCACAAGAGCGCAAGCGAACTAACCGAGCGGTAGCGGGTGGCCGGCGCTATAACGAGTGAGGGCGCACTATGGAAAATGATAGAACAACGGCATATCAAAAATCGTTTTTACTTAAGTCGTTATTGACGCACTTTAATTTTTTTTTAATTGTATTAGAGTGGTACTTTAATATAATGTAGAAATTTTGCGTGAATTGCATTTGGAATACATATTTTTTAATGTGAGAAATTGTAATTCGTAAGAATGTCTATTTCAGGTCTGTTCGCTTCAATACTTTAAATTTCATTTCTTTCAAAAACTTGTGCGAATATATATAAAGTATTATGCATTTCTAAAAAGCCCATAGTATATATATAAATTTTAAGACAATTATAATGTTGTGGATTGTTTGATTATTTTTCTATAAAAAAAATACAAAAAGTGAGGGGAAAAAAAGGTATGTACGTATTTGAAATTCATCGAGACTTTTGACAGTTACCGATGTCTTCCAGTGCTTTACATTTGGTGTTGTTTTATAGCTCAGATATTCATAAATAACATTTATATGAAATGAAATGAAATGAAATGAAATGAAATGAAATCTTTTATTTCAGGCAATGAAATGCCCATAGACAAAGTGTTAATAAACAATTAAAACTTAGACTATTGTTAGTACATACAGCACAAATTAACCTAACCTTATTTTATATACAAAAGAACCGATTTGATTTGCCCAATCCAATACCATAGGATTGGGCAATCCAATCTGCCTGCAATCGTTTTCAGGATGCTGTTGGGACTCTTTCTGACACGAGTCAAGAGGGAGACGATCTTTTTCCTCATCAGTGCATGAAAGCCATCTTTGTGCGCCTCGGCAAACATGCCTGACGCACTGCACCATCGTGGCAGCCCCAACAGCATCCTGAACGCGTTGTTGTACTGTACGCGTAGGGCGTTATATGCTCGCTTTGTGTACTTGACCCACAGGCCGCTCGTGTAAAAAGATTGGCTGTATGCCTTAAATAACACGATTTTTACGTCGTCTGAGCATCTTGCGAACCTGCGGGCCAGCATATTACAACGCACAGACAACGCCCTACGCTCTCTCTCTATATCCTGGTCATCACACAGGTCATCCGTCAGTATGTGACCAAGATACTTCACCCTTCGCACATTTCTAAGCACAACCCCACCAAGAGCGACGGGCGGTATGTAATAAGGCTTAATTTTGCCCGCCTTGAAGACCATAATCTCGCTCTTGGCAGAGTTGTACACCAGACCATGTGCATTCGCATAGACTTCGCACCTTTGCACGAGTTCCCTGAGCGCTCCAATGGACGGACTCAGCAGCACCATGTCATCGGCGTAGCTTATATTGTTGGCGCACATGCCTTCAATATGACAACCCGCATGCATACTGCTGAGCCCAGCCACCAGGTCATTTATGTACCAGTTGAACAGCGCCGGAGACGATAAGCCCCCCTGCCTCACCCCACACTCCATCCTGTATTCATTGGACAAGGCCTCCGCCCATCTCACCTGGTTCGATTGATTGTGATACCAAAATTTTAAAATGTTGACACAATTTTTAAATTTTAAACACACAAATTTTAAAAATCAGCTGCGGATACGTGCGGTTTTAGAAGTTATCGCGAAAACTACGATATAAGTTAAGAAATGGAAAACCGCTATCTATTGTGGTTTCTTATGTTGTACTATTGAATTGATTAGTTTGCGGTATATTTCAATAAGTTATAGGTGTTTATTGATAACAGGGCGTTTTGTCTACATTTTGCACTTATTTTGTGGTACTACTTTAATCAACAAAATGCACACTACCCTCATTTATGAATTTGTATAAGAAGAGTGAATTAATTTATTAAAGCTAATGCAAATAGATAATAAAACTAAACAGACGTTTGATTGTTACGTATCATCACTGAATTTCAAAATGTCAAATTCTTTCAAGTGTTCCAAGCGTGAATTATTACTCTCATACATTGACGGAGGAAAAAAACTTGAAACCCTATCAACAGTTTTAAAAGAAAACTATCATGTTTCTGAAGACAACATGTGTTTTATTATCAGTGATGTTCCAAGGAATCTCATTCCTTCCTTTAATAAACGATGGGCAGAAGCGTCCAGGAAAAAGGATTCGTTTCTAAAAAAGAACGAAAATTGGCTGAATTCTGAATATTTGGTAACCTTACCGAGCATTGAAGAAGTAACACCTGACATCACGCCATCTACTTCTTCTGGGAAACGCGGAAGACCCTGTGTCTCTTATGGAGACTCAACAGAATCAACCAAAAAACGAAAAAATACCGCGCTATTTAGTGAATATGGCTTTGAACACATTTGCAATGCCTATGTTCAGGGCTTACGTTCAATAAGAGAAGAAATAGAAGCAAAACTCGTGGAAAAACTAAGGCTTGCTGACCGTGATGATACAAAGTCTCTATATTTGAATCTCATAGAAAACGCAAACGAGAGCAAAATGCTAATGGATCAAGAAGCATTGAGTGTTTTCATTGACTTAGATTTAACGAAAGCACAATATATATACTTAAGGAATTTAACAAACGACTGTGTTCTATTCCCACCATTTTAAAAAATACAAGAAATCAAACAGACATGTTATATACCATCTACAGCAATAGAAATTACAAATACACATGCAAAAGTACTAAACCTTCAAGATTTATTGGACCACACTGTAGCTAGGATTTTGGCCATAGATTCGGAATATAAGAATGGATTGTGTCATTTAGTTTTATACAGTAAATGGGGATGTGATGGTTCATCTGGTCAAAGTCAGTACAAACAAAAACTTCCAGAGGAGTCTGAACTTGTTTCCGATGCAAATTTGTTTATTACGTCATTAGTGCCTATTAAATTAGTCAATGAGCTTACTGGCGACAATGTCTGGTAAAATCCAGTGCCTTCGTCAGTCCGTTTTTGTCGGCCCATATCGATAGAATTTTGTAAAGAAACTCCTGAAAAATCTAAAGCTGTTGTTGATGAAATAAAGAACCAAATAATTTCCTTGCGGCCATCATTAATTAAAAAAGAAGGTGAAGGAGTGAATGTGAAGCACGAACTCTTTCTGACTATGATAGATGGCAAAATAGCTCAAGTATTAACAGATACACCATCTGGATCCACGTGTACAATCTGTGGAGCTACTCCACGGCAAATGAATGATCTGACTAAAGTCACTAGTAGGCCAGAAAATGAAAATGCATATCAATACGGACTTTCCACATTGCATGCCTGGATTCGTTGTATGGAAATGGTATTACATATCTCATATAATCTTTCTTTTCGGACATGGTCAGCCACAAGTGAAGAAAAGAAAAGGCAAAAGCAAGAAAAGAAAACCCTAGTACAAAAACTTTTTCGGGAGGAGCTAGGATTGATCATCGACAAACCACGACAAGGAAGTGGTAATATCAATGACGGTAATACTGCTAGACGATTTTTTCACAACGCAAATTATTCTTCTGAAATCACCGGAGTGGATGTGAATTTGATCAAAAGGTTGTATATTATTTTACAAGCTCTTCATCAGGCGTAATGATAAATGCAGAAAAATTTGGCAAATATGCCTTGGAAACAGCCAGGATTTATGTAAGTAATTATGAATGGTACTACATGCCATCTTTAGTACACAAAATTTTGATTCATGGTGAAAGTGTCATTAAGCATTTTGGTGTAATTCTTATTGGTCAACTTTCCGAAGATGCGCAAAAATCCCGTAATAAGGATTATAAAAAATTTCGCCTACATCATGCCAGGAACTGCTCTCGATCAGCTACAAATGAGGATGTGTTTCATACTCTTCTCTACACATCAGATCCGTACATTTCCAGTTTTAGAAAAACATATGGCAAAAGTGTGAAGGCACGTGATGAAGATGCCCTGGATCTTTTAAAAGTGAATGAACTCATTTTGGATCCTGAAGTTCAACAAGTATAATAAAACATAATATACACATTGACATACATACATTTCTAACATTATTTTACTATTAAATTAGTATTTTGTAACTTTTTTTACTATACGTGTTTGTAATCTTATAACTTTTAATTTCTTAATTAAATAGATAAGAGCTTAAACATGATTGTTTTTAAAAAAACTAATGTAATAATACATTTTTATTAATAATATAAGTAGCGTTGTCCTTAAGGAAATCAAATAAAAGCTATTTCTGAAATATATTTTTTCATTTTTTTTTTTTCAAAAATAAACATACTCTTATAAAAGTATAGCATCTGAACTTTAACTAAAGCTAAGCTTGTGCAAAATTTCAATAGTCTATCTTAACAAATAAGAAAGTTATTGATTTTTTATCTGAAACAGACCTCGATTATGTTCGTAGCTGGTTACGAAAGATCAGTTACGATGGTGGACCAAAGGGATTTTCCATAGTGGGGCGGGTGGGGATGCGAAACCCGCAGAAAAGCGTGCGCAGAGGCCAATAAGGGTAGATGGCACTCGCTGAATGTTCGATTTTGCGCAGAGCATTACAAAATGTTAGAGGCAGTATTTTCCTTAAAGAAAAATATTTAAAATAAATTAGTGTTTATTTACATATTCGGTATGGGGATCAGCTACTCATTCGCCTCTTTAAATATTTATCTCGTTCAACCTGTCACCCTGTACATTCTTTGTCTGCCAGTTGAATAAATTCGACATGTCAACCTGTCAGTTACTTGACAGTTAATTGAAGTTTTAAAAGATGAGTAGAGTCGTTTGTATTTTCATTAAATGTTAAATAAGTATTATTTTTTGAGTTGCCGTCCCCATGAGACTCGTACCATAGTTCAAAAGCTAAGGGAAATAGGTTCCGTAAATAAAGATGATAATATTTCAGACAGTCCTAATTCACTTTAACCTTTTACAAATGGGGAAGGCTTTGGTCATAATAGATGGGCTGACAAATTCAGATTTGTCATTATTGCAGAAGAGCCTTATTTTGCTTAAAATTCCTAATATATCAAATATCTCTGAAATAACAAATGACAATTGCAAAACTTAAGCTAAAGTAACCTTTAGGTGCATCTTTATATATCGCGAAGTACTATGCACTTACATACAATCAAAGTTCCTGTAATGTACCTACTTATTTAACTGCATCCGTCGCTCCAAATTCAAAAATAAAAATTATTTGAGGCGCCTTGAAATTAGATGCTTGTAGAAGCGATGCAATACAGTACTACTAATTTTCATACAATAGTCTGCAAAAGTAGCGCATGCTGCGACTGCGGCGCTGCAGCTGCGTTTCTAAATATTGTAAGTAAATTAATAGTGACTCTGAAATCATTTTTTGTTTTTATTTTTTTTGGAGCGACGGATGCAGTTAAATAAGTATATTACAGAAAGTTTGATTGTATTCAATTGAATGAACATTTATTGGATTGCTAACACCCTTTTCCACTCCGTATTGGTAAATATCGTTCTAGTTCTAGTTGACGCAGTAGTGTCTACCACAACGCCATTGTGAACTTTGCAAATCCGTCATTGCAGTCAGTTTAGAATATCCTCTTAGTTAAAGACTCAACCTACTGTAGGTAGGTTTTGAATAGTAGAGTCGTTAAAGGTTGTGCTATGAATAACGGAAACAGACAGCAGAATTACAGTAAGTAGCGCTCCACAATGCTTACACCACTGAGAGACGGACATTGCTTATGTTTGCTGGCATAAATTAATTAAAAAAATATCTCAATACTTTTAATAGCATTAGAAATCCTTGTAAAAGAACTAGTTGAGAGAATTACGGCCACCGTACTTATTTTTGTAATCCGCCAAGGAGCAGGTAATATACATTACTGCTTACGCATTACGTTCCGGCTTTGAAAGCTAAGAATGCAGGTGAAACTACATGCACATGAGTCTTGTCAACTTTATGTCTCAGGGTGGCGGACTCCGTGGCAGTGCCGTTTAGATCTTTGCGATTAAAGCTCTGTTATGGGTAGGTAGGTCGTTTATCATCGGCACACGACTTATTCGTATTGTCACTTGGTATCATAAAAAAACATTTTTCGAAATTCTTTTCTAAATAGTAGCAGTAGAGCTCCTTGTGAAAGAGTCCGTCCTGGAAAGTTCTGCCACCTTACCTATTTCTGCTATCAAGCAATAATGTGAGCATTATTGCATTCCGGTTTTGAAGGGTAAGGGTGCTGATGAAATTGCAGGCACTTGGGCTTTGTGACCATTGCCCCTCAGACCAGCTATGAACAGGCGTGTACTGCCCACCAGGCGCACGATTCGTTCGTCCCGTCACTTGATATGACACAAAAAATGCTAGCAGGGAAGTAAATCTTATTTTTGTTAAATGAAAATAGGTACACATCACAACACAACAACAACATCGCAATTAGTCTTGTTGATAGTTTTGTTTATATGTATGTGTATAATGTTTCAATACTTGTTGTATTCTCTAATATGTAATGTAAATTTAAAAAAAAAAAACATACAGCACCTATTGTGCCGACATGCGT